TAAGCTACACGCCGTGGCTGTTCAACCTATTTATGGACAGTTGTTAGGAAAATTTGAAAGTTGAAGAATGCGGGTTAAGAATGGTTGAGTTAACCATCAATTGCCTTTTGTACGCCGATGATCAAGTCATACTTGCGTCGTCGGCAGCCGAGTTGCAAATGATGGTTACTTTAATGAACAGATCATTAAAAGAAAGGGCAATGAAAGTGACCGCAACTAAGACGAAAGTGATGGTTTTTGAAAGAGAAGAAAACAAAACGGCGGCGGTTGCGGTTGCAGTATCGACTCCGTACATTTAACAATTTAAAAATATTTCTAGATCATTAATCAAAATAATAACTCATTCAAAGTGACGTAAACATAACAGAAAAGAAGTGAGAGTGTTATTTTTCATGATATTAAAGTAATATTGCAAATATCATCCTAAAACTTTCGCGGGTAGAAACTACGTTCAAGTGTTGAAAGAAGACTTAATTACAAACTTACCGAACATTAATTACGCTTATTGACATTTTTTCAGTTTTAGCACGAATGGGTCGGCTTGACCGGGGAAGGATCACCCTCTCACAGTATACCAACGTAAAATAGTAGCTTAATGCTGCTGTCCGTCTAGGGACATTACCGACGGTATTACTTTCATTTCCTAGACATCTTTATGTAATGCTAATTGTGCACGTGAGAAAAATTAATTGCGTTTGTTGAAGACGCTCTCGAAAGGTGGAGAGTCAACTGAGAGGTTGCAAAACTTATTTAATTTCCTTTTTTTAACAGTCTCCCAATATTAGTAATTTCTCCTGTATATATATTATATTCGACTGTTTGCTCGTTTGTCACCCAATCATATATAAAAAAAAGAAAATCCTGGTTCACCATGACAACGCGCTCTCCCAACTCAGCGGTTGCCATCTTGAAAATTCACGAATTACGGTTTGAACTGCTTTATCATCCGCCTGACTCATCAGATCTAGACCCAAGCGACGTCTTTTTGTTCCCTCATCTAAAAAGTAGGACAGAGATTTTCGTCAAATGAGGAGGCAATTACCCTCGTGAAAAATTATTTTGCAGAAAAAAACGCCCGCCGAGTACTATTTGGACGGGTTAGAGAGATGAGGACATCGCTGGGACTGGGAGAAGTTACAGACTTACAGACTGTAGAAAAATAAAAATAAATTTTAAGAAAAAATTCCTTGTATCCTTGTTAAGTCCGAAACTTTTCTGAAGTAGTTTTGACATTAAACGAAAATTTTGCAATACATTCGAAACCTGGATATAATCTAATCAACGAATTAGACTATTATTATTATTTTTATTTTAGTTATTTAATTTCAAGTATCTAGGACTCATTTATTACTAAACGTTATGTAATATACGTGTGACCATTTTTACCTAAAAGTCACAATTATGTTGCGTAAAGTTCCGTATAGTCACTAAAATACATTTGTTATTGTTTTAATCGCGTTTGCGGTAATAATAAATAAAACAAGATATAACTAACTAACAATACATGCGTATATTGTTAATTTTATTTATTCATATAGTTACTTAATGAACAGTTACTTATAATGTACCTTTTACTTAAGTTAAAAATATGTTAAAATGGGCTCCAATTTAGTTTCCTCCAGTCCAGTCTAAACTAGTTTAGTTCTTAATTAAGTTTGCTCATATGTAAACTATATACATCCACATATTATGGCTTTTAAATAAAACAGTAAATATGTTAAAATTTAAATACATTTATTGTGATACAGTAATAAATAATAACAAATATAAATCAGTCTTTTGAAGGGTTACCCAAAGGTTTCACTGTCAACACTCGCAGCGCTAAAGTAGTCACTCAAAGGGGTCAGGTGGTCTTCGGATGCTGGGTAAAGGCAGTCGAGGTCCACGTAGAGTTGCCTCTGGGCAGTAAGCTTCTCCACTATGAGGGCAAACGTTGGGCGATCATGGGGGTTCTCCGACCAGCATTCGGTCATTAACTGGTAGAGTCGAGCAGAGGCGCGCGCTGGTTTCGGCAGTCGACCGCCGCCTGTCAGGAATATTGGTACTTGATGATTGCTCAGCTCCGCATATGGGAAGCCGCCTGGAATTGGATATTAATACAACTATTTACGTGGTAGAGTTAGAGCCATTCTGTAACTACATTGTAGCACAAATTGCTTGAATCTACCAAGGAAGAACGACGCTGTCACTTAAAATAAAACTAATTTTACGGATTTTATGTTCTAGCTTAACGCATGCTACAAGTCAGTACTTCATGACAATGCCGTCCAACAGCTTTTATAATAATAATATAATAATAATAAAATATTTATTCATTGACCAAAAGTAATAAAATATTTAAAGGTTAAACTAATACAAAAATAATATTTTTAGAAGGACAATGAAAGGGTTCTGACTCAGCATGTGTTGCAGAGAATCTACAACGCTGTTATTCTGTCAGCACCCATATACCTACTTTGTGAGCTAAAGTATAACTACGCGTACATCACCGATTATTTTACAAATAGCTTTTAGTGTTAAATTATTTATTTATTCAGCCAGTACAAGAACTTTATAATTAACCAGTACAAGTTATCATAATATTTCTATTAATAATTTGATAATTAATATACATGTACAAGAGATAAAACATAATATAAACAAAATATAAACGTAATTTAAACAAAAACATGAAAAAAAGTAATAGTATTAAAAGTAAGAGCTAAAGTAGTGTTTTATTTATTCAGACTAATTATAATAATTATGCTAGAACAACGTAATGGTTATTAAAAAGAATATTGGTAGTAAATGTAAGTTACATAATTGCATATATTCAGCCCTTTTTTTATATTTATGACATTTTCTGCGTACTTAATAAATACTCTTTGTATTTTCTCTTAAAACTGTTCTTATTTGTTATGACTCGTAATGGTGGTGGAAGATCATTCCAACATTTTGTGGCCATAAATTTGTAACTACCACGAAATGCTGATGTCCTATATTGAGGTATGCAAAGTACTTTTGCACACTTTCGGATACCGTACATATGTTGATTTTGTCTCCACTGAAGCTTTTCATATAGGTATTCTGGTTTCTTTGTTTTTATCACCCCAAATAGCAGGGAGGCATAAAATAATTTGAGACGTTCCTGCATTTTAAGCATATTAGAGGCCTTAAGGTAAGGTGTAACATGTGTTCGTCTTGGGATGTAAAAACAGTAACGAGCGCAAGCATTTTGTACCCTTTGAATTAAATTTTTTGATTTTTTTAAATAGGCAAGGTCCATACAGATTTCCAGTCCATACATTTATCATGCATTCATTAAATTTACCACGGTAAAATGTCAAGATGGCGTTTCTGTTTCATGCTGTCAGAGCAGTTGACTGAAGCTAGTCAACAGATATAGAAGAAAACGTCGCTATTTCTCGTTTAGGTTTTGCCAAAATAACGTAAATTTTTTGTATCTATACTCCGGCCGCTGAGTTATTACCGATTTGACACATGACGAATTGACAATACTAGTGAAGTGACTGAACCAGTAACCCTAATATCATTTGGGAACAGTTTGTTTTTAAATATTCTAGTATAGTGTGTAATTAAATAAAATCAAAACAATAATAGTTAAAGACACAGATTCTTTATTAGGTGGAGTATCCTTGATGAGCGTAGATAATTGGTCGAGGACATATCAAAATAAAACAAATTTGTAAACACTGTTACACATTTTAATGAATAGAGTAGGTACAATTTGTTTTAATAAATGACTACCTATCATTTATTAAAACAATTATTCAGACTCTGAACCAGATTCGCCAGAGCTGTCATCGCTATCAGTCACTTGTATGACAATTTCATTCTCTACAATGGTGTCCACTCTTATATCGCGTTCATAATCTTCTGTTATTAGTTTTCGAGTCTTTTCGACGACCTTGACCCAATCTCCTTTCGTTATTTTGCTGCAAGCATCTTTTTAATAGACCCATCATTTTATTAGTACTGAATGGCGGAGTCGTATTATTACGAGCTGCGTAACCTGTAATGTAAACATTAAATAACGTTAATTTATTACATTAAATAAACGAAATGTTACACAATTACCTACATGTAAGGGACATGAGATATTTATTTCTTAGTTATGTATCTTTTTACTTATATGCTGAATATTGGATGTTATAATAGTACAAATTATTCATATTCATAACTTATGCGATAAAAAACAATACCTTTGATTTGTGCCCATATTAGCTCAATGGCATTGTACTGGCAGTGATAAGGCGGAATTCGAAGTACCCGATGTCCATGTGCTAGAGCTATCTCATCTACTTCATAACGGACTCTTGATTTTTTATTTTCGCGTACCAACTTTACTAAGTCAGACTTTAGCATTTCGGCAGTAGTTTCAATTCCATTTTGGTGTAGCCATGCTACGAGATCAGCTTTCTTGTCGGCCTGAGTAAGCGCTTTATTCACTTGTTTCGAGTGATATGAAGCGTTGTCCATTATTATGATAGAAGGCTCTGGCAGGCTGGGTAATAATTGATTTTCGAACCAATTCGTAAAAGTGTCTGTATCCATCTCCTCGTGGTAATCGGAAGTACTTTTTTGACGCGAAAGCCAGCAGTTCATTTTCAAAGAAACCACTTCCAGCAGAACCGGCGTGACAAATTATCAGTCGCGATCCTTTTCCAATTGCAATCTTTGAGGTTGATGCTTTTGTTTCGTCAGTCCAAGAGCGTGACACAGTGTGGTTCGCATTTAACCATGTTTCGTCAATAAAACGACGTTGTCCCAAGACTCGATTTTTCTGGCTTCTCTTAAAAACTCGCTCCTTTTAATTATTAAATCAAATCTTTCCATTAATATTTTCCTTTTATTCGTTTTTTATATTCAAACCCAATTTCGTGCAATAGTTTTGACAACGCCGTTTTACCGCCTTTAAACAAGCCAGCTTCTTTTAAAGAGACCAAAAGCAAACGTCTAGTTGGAAACTAGTTCCTAGTATAATAACCATATATGTGGTTTCTTATTGCATCTGCATCAAAAACATCAACACTTGTCACGGGCTTTTGTCTTCGTTTTTTCTTAGGAGTGCGTAAAACATTATCTTCACTTCCAGAAGCACCAAATTTTTTTTATTTATATTATATAGTGTTTTTGCACCAATTCCAAGAGCTTGTGAAACCCGATCTTTCACTTGAGTGACAGGAATCAAAGGGCCGCCATTTTGTGACTCACGCTCAAAGTAATCCTGTAGCTTTAGTACAAGCTCACGACATTGACTATTCAATGTTTTTCCTCGTTTCGGCATTTTCAACAAAATTACCAAACACAAACAAAATTAGTCCAATAAAGCGCAACGATAAACAGGAGAAAGCCGAGTCAAAAAACAACGGTTACACAAGAGAACGTAGTCTGTGCGCACGAGAGTACGGAAGACGACTAAACAGATTAAAATAGCGGTGGTAAGGGTGTTGCCAGAATAGTATCGCCAATTACTTAAAAAAATACACCTATAACATTGCTTAATTGAGGGGAGAAAATTATATTTATTAAATGTTGTTTTATATATTATGAATGTTAAAAATTATACATAATCATTTTAATTGTATTTATTTTTAAATCATAGAAAACAGTATTTCTGTCTTTGGATCACACATAAATCTTAAAAATTATAGAGATACTGGCAACACAGTGCAATTAGGAGACGCAAAAAAATGGTAGCATTATAGTCTAGTTGCTCGAAGGAATAAGTAAAATAAAAATATCCAAATAAAATAAATATCATATCTATTCCAATGAATTCGGACCGAATACTATCAAGCACATCACTATGAAAACTAGACGCAAGATGTAACTTTGTACAAGCGCGCCAAAGAACAAAAAATAAATGTTTTCATATTATTTATTTATTTATTTATTTATTACAAGATCCACAGCTCTAATTACAACGTATATAAAACTTAAGAAATAAACTAACAGCCAATAACGGATCTACTTTATACATTTTTTGACTTATATTAATTGACCGACCATCAATAAGTTTGAACTTATATTAATTGACCGAAAATCAATAAGTTTGAGCTACAAAACATACTATTTTAAAATTAAAAATTAAAAACGGTGCGTCTCTCTCTCTGATCTGTGTGTCCGTGTACGCGCGCATGCGTGTGTGTGTGTGTGTGTGTGCGTGTGTGTGTGTGCGTGTGCGTGTGCGTGTGCGTGTGCGTGTGCGTGTGCGTGTGCGTGTGCGTGTGCGTGTGCGTGTGCGTGTGCGTGTGCGTGTGCGTGTGCGTGTGTGGTGCGTGTGGGTGCGGGCGTGTGCGTGTGCGTGTGCGTGTGCGTGTGCGTGTGCGTGTGCGTGTGCGTGTGCGTGTGCGTGTGCGTGTGCGTGTGCGTGTGCGTGTGCGTGTGCGTGTGCGTGTGCGTGTGCGTGTGTGGTTGTGTTATATCGTAGTTAAATGCAATCGACTGACCAATGCGTTTTGTGCGTAATTTGTTTTTGATCGTGTTACAGCAAATAATTTTGTGTGTCTCGTTCTAACTTTCGGGGCGCAGAAACTCAGTATTTTGGTTGATAGTTCAGGGCTATCTATATATCCGTTGCATATTCCGTGTAAAAAGGACATGTCAGCAAGTACACGCCTATTTTTGAGAGTCGTAAGATTATGATAATGGCAGGATTCATCATAATTTTTGAAATGGCAATGCGACCGATAATTTAAATGTTTTATGAATTTTTCTTGCATTTTTTCTAAATCTTGAATACAAATGATATACTGAGAGTTCCAAATTATGCTACAGTATTCTAGGATGTTCCTAACATAAGTGTAATACAGTACTTTTAGACAACCTATGTCTGAGAAGGGACGACTAACACGCAATACGAAACCCAGGCTTCTGTACGCTTTGTTTTTAATCATTTCTGTATGATCAGAAAATGTCAACTTGCAGTCAATGTGAACACCAAGATCCCTAACACAAGCCGATTTTGCAATTTTAACATTATTAATATAGTATTCAAAATTGATCGGATGTTTCTTGCGAGTAAACGAAATAAAAGAGCATTTATTTATATTTATACCAATTCGATTATCAGTATAA